AGGCCCCGGCTGGGGCGTGCGGTCAGTCGGGCGGGAGGCTTTGCAAACGCGGCTGGAGAGGGAGAACCTCCGGTGGGTTTCCCGGCGGCTTGCTGCTCGCTGTGGCCGGCGAGGAGTCTTGTTTTGCCAGGTTCGGGTTGGTTACTCCGCAAAGCCCGGGTCGGCCTTTACTCCACAGGTGCTGCTTTTCTGGGGAGTTCCTCTTGGACGTGGTATCTGGCAGCCGTGCCACAAACTCGCCCTGTTGAGGGTTACAGGCTTGATTTCTTGTAACTTTGTTCTCATTTCATTTTAATAGTGATTTCTCCGCCTCAAAATTTCACCAAGCTGAAAGCGTGTCAGTTGGGATTGATAAACTGCCGATGTTTAAAATTATATCTAATAATATCCATTATTAGTTCACTCTTACTAAACCTGTATTTGGGTGCCAACTATTCTAGAGATTTGCGTGGGCAGACAGAACCTGGATTCAGATGCTGGTGAGCAGAGTGTTGATGGCTTGAGTACAGGGTATGTCTTTAGTGTACTTCGTGATGGCAAGTATATCCGCTCTGTATGCCAGCAATTAAGTGACACTGGGTTTGAGGTGGGAAATAGGATGGCAGAGTCAGCATGGTGCCACGTCTGATGTAGTCAGCCATGCTTCTCTCATGTGCTGATTGACCCAAGAAAAGTGCTACAAGGGTGCAGCTATCTTGCTTCTGGGGATTGCTAGGACTAATCTGGGGTTCTCTGACCCGTGCTCTGTTGAGCTGGTGTTCTCTGACCCTGTGCCACTATCTACTGCTTTCAGTTCTTCCTATACAGAAGACCAGGCCGCTGGAGTAAACAACTGTGGAAAAAAGAAGAGCCCAAGTATGGCTTTTCAGACACTGGTGTAATACTCTTCTACCTTCTAGTAGAAAGTCAGAAAGGACATCATCATCAGTGCCAGTTAAAGGCTACCTGGGAAATGGTGACAGCAGCGAGGGACAAGATCTGTGTGTACCAGTTATCCTGGTTCCCATTGACACTGTGATGTTCCCTTTATCTGTCCTCTGCCGGGATTGGGGAGCAAAATGGGAATGCTGCTGGATTTTCAGAAAGAAGCAGTAATTATTAGAATTATTTCTTATGTGTAACTAAGATACTTCATGTTGCTTCTTAGTTTAGCTATGAAGAATGTATACATAAATCCCATAAAATACACATTTCAATAGTAGAGCACAGAGGTTTTTAAGAACTAAAGAAAACTCTGTCTTTCAGATATTAAATGTAAGATATTAGATTACATGAGAAGATTTATTTTAAAATTTAACAAGGTGGATAGAAATACATAGACCAGAAAAGAAGAAATGTGAATGAATTAAAATTTCTCATTTGTAGAATACTGTTGATTGATTTTGTTTAAGTAATTATTCACAGCTATTCTTTCCATGTATGCTGGATAATATCTGCATCAGACATAGGGCCTACACAGAAGACCTTCTGCTTAAAGGTCAAAATCTTGACTCCCAGTAGCTGGGAGAATAGGGAGTGATAATTTACCTTCCCTATTCAGTGACAAATGGCTGCAGAATTGCTCCAAACAGACTTCTGCAGTGGAATTCCTTACTTAACACTTTTGAATCATGTTGTAATAGAGGGAAGAGTAAGGAGCACAGAGCGTCAAATTCAGTCACAGTGAAGAAAAGTAACGTATTAATGGTAATCAGAAGGATTAAAGCCACTGACAGTCTCCGGATCTGTTCCTCTGTTTTGTAATGTTGCATCTTTTGGTGAAAGCGGTGGTTGTGCTGCTCCTGAGCATCCAATTTTATCTTGTGTCGTTCAGCTGAAGGGGCTGGCTTGTGTATTAATTCAAGAAACTGTGCCAGAATGTACAGGCTCTGAAAGAAAGAATGGAAGAGTCAGTTGGAAACGTAAAAATGCAGAACAGGAAGAAGTGAACTAAGAAACTAGGGAAATAAGATTTTTGCTCCATAGTTTAGAAATAACCAAGATGGTGGTATCTGAGCTACTGTCAGTTCATTGTCTTAAACTGTGTGAGAGAACAGAAGTTAGCAGATGGTCTGAGTCAAAGACAGTGCAGAAACGTATTTTTCTTTTTAGGTAAGTTTGAAAACCAGAAGAGGAATTTTGAATGGTTTAAGGCTCATGATGAGTTTGCTGTAAAATGACAAGGACGGTATCTACAGAGAACTGCACCAGGAGAGTGATTGATTTCGGGGGGCTCAAGAGATAATGAAGCAAGTCTTTCACTGCCCACTGCATTTGCTAGAAGATGCAGCAGGACAGAATACTGTTTCAAAGTTTGGGTTGACAATTTATCTTATGCTAATGTTATCTTTGCATGTGCTTGGGAGTGGGTTGAGGAGGCATTTCTCTTGGAGAAAAAAATGGATTGCTAGTTCTTCCTTGTCTCTGCTTATCAATTATTGATAACTGTGTCAGTTACTGATTATAATACCTCTTTGGCTCATTGGGAAACTGCCCTTGGTAAGGTCGATAACTTATATTGGGTGTTTCCTAAGTTCACTGGAAAGAAAGTGTCTCTTTACAGCGTGTTATTGAATTCCTGTTTCGGTTATGGTGTTTTATAAGTAATCAGGTGTTAAGAAACAGATTTTCTGTAGTATTGGAGAGTACCACATATGGCCCAGGAAGCACTGTGGTACTGAGTATGGTGTATTTTAGTTCCCTTTAAAAAACTAAAGGTCCTCTACGTCAGATGCTTTCTGCTCTCCTTCAGTATTTTCCTATGAAACAGAGAAATTGTGATGGAAATGCAGTATCAATGAGCCTTATTTTCCACTACTTCACCACTGTCTAGGACTTTGTTTCAATATCCTTTTTAACTATGTTGTGGTAGTGTAAACATTGATGAATTAATAGTTTGTAATTTAAAACTAGCATTAAATTCTGTGCCTCCCATTATATTGTACAGTGTTTTTCTTGTGCACTACTTTGCAGAGGAATGCAAGCTTCAAAGAATAAAAATACAGAAAAGACAGAACCATTCTACAGGCTTTCAGTGCCAAAGCAGAAGACAAGTTCTGAGATTATAAATGAAGCCAGGAATGTTCTACGAACACTAAGAACTCGAAGACCGTTTACACCTACAGAGGATCAGAGGAAACTTTTTGGATCTGGATCCTCACGAGCTCCTCAGAATAGACCCCCTTCAGTTTTTAGGTACTGTGGCTTTAAGATTTTTTTCAAATATCCTTTAGCAGCAAGAGATTTGATTCTGTAATTATGTTTCCGGTGATTTTTTTTTTTTCCCCCCTATGTTAATCTGTATTCCTAATCACATCCTTTGCCTTCTTCTAATGATCCTTACTGTTGGTGTTAATCTACATGTCCAGGAAGTTCCTGTGGATTAGAGCTACCAGAGGCAGTCATTACACTAGTTTTGTATATGGAGAATAGTATAGGAAAATGCTCTGTAACTCACCTTTTTCTTAAAACAATGTATGCTTTTAATTGAGGTAGTCTTCGACCTTTCCCTAGAAACTGTGAAAGCTTGCTTGTTTCCACGTAAACTGTATGCTAGATCTTTTTTCAGAGCTTTCTCAGATCTTTTTAAATATAAAATTGTAGGTCTTGATATTTGAAATGCTCATTTTTAAACAAAATTTGTACTACTTCAAAATTATTTGTGTGGAGTTTTGTTATGTAGCACAACTCACAGAGCTCAATAGATCTGTCTCTTTTGACAAAAAAGAAAAAAAAAAAATGTATATTGGGCTTCTTACATCCACTTTCCCAGTCATTTTTTAGCTCTCCTTATACGCCCATTCTGTAATGACTGTAGGGAGGAGATACGAGCTGCATTTGTAATGTTAGGTGTCAGGCATGCCAGAAAGGATGCTGAAACACATTTGAGTGGCCGTACAAGTAAGTCAGTGTCCGTGCTGTTTCATGGCAGCATGACTTGAGGCACTCAATGTATCTGATATTCCTTACTGCATAGTGTTGTGCCCTTACAGAAGGCAGGAGCCTGAGAGTGACTCAGCTGTTTGGTGGTGACCGGGTAATGAGGTCACATGGCTGACACCCATGCTTGTTCTGTCTGTGCTTCTTCTGTGTATGGGGAGGAGCATGCTCATGCCTGCACAAACCTGGGTTTTCTGCCCTGCATGGTTCTGCACCTTGTGTCAGATAGCTTGAGCACTAACAACAGTTGGGTTTGTGCACGAATTTAGGCTTATAATAGAGAATTGTTATAGATGTGTATGAAATAAGGGATCACCTGCCATGACACAGTTTGATGCTGATGAATTCCCAGATGTCAAAGTTAAATAGCATTCATGGAAGAAGAGTGATGGTGTAAAAGTGCCATGTCACTCTTAATTTATTCCTCCTTTCCCCTGTATTCATTGGCAAAGGGAGGAAGTATGCAATTAAAAATCAAAACCAAACCAAACACAAAACACTGGGTCTGCTTTATTCATATTATATTTAATTTCTTTATGCTAGTCTTCATGCATCCAGTTTTGATTTGGCTGAATCAAGACCAGTGTCCGGTGTTCGTCTTAGCCCACTGGATCATGTGAGTACTCTGGAAATAACTATGCAATACTGACATAAAAATATGTGTATCAGTAGTGATAGGGAAAAATGTGGTTTACATAGGTTGGGGAGAAATGGAAGCCAGTTGTAATGTTAGTCTGAGATGTATAAGGTCAGTTTTGTAATTTTTTCCCCAAAATAAACCTGAAAATAATTTAAACTATTTAAATATTGTTATATTGCATTGTAATTCTAAGTGACATTAACAAGAATCAGAAGACAGATACTTGAGTCAGCTTCCTTGTGTAAGATTACTAAAATAGAAAAAGGTCGTGAGCATCAACATGAACCAGCAATGTGCCCTTGCCGCTAAGAATGTGGCTAATAGGATCCTGGGCTGCATTAGGAGGTGTGTTGCTAGCAGGTTGAGGGAAGTGATCCTTCCCCTCTGCTCAGCACTGGTAAGGCCATACCTGGAGTAATGTATTTATATGAATCAAACTAAAAAATTCTGACCATACTTAGATTTAGATACTGGTGTGTGTTAAATTTTCATTTATTTTGTGTGTGAGGGTGGAAAACAAATAGAGAAAACTACTGTTAAGACCAATGCAAAAACTGCCTTTTTCCTTTACCAGTAGAGAGAGCTTGTATTAGGCACTGTGGTTCTGGGGAGTGGGCCTCACCTCTTGGCTATCTTCAGCTAATACGGAGGAGAGCTCTAAGGGATCAAACTGGAGACTTTCTAATGAATTCTTTATTGTAAGGAAATTGGAGAGAACCTTGATCCTAGAGAGCAATGCATTTACGTAGGGCACAAGTGCTTTTTACCAGAGGTTCAGGGGGTTGGTCACATCATCTAAGATGCAAGATACTGACGTAAATAAAACTAGAACTTGCACATTTCTGGATCTGCATGATTTATCTCAGTGTGATAGGAAGCGGTCCATATGATATGAACAAATTTGAAGTGTTTTGGAAATACTACTTTAGTGCTCAAAAACAAATCATAAGGAATAGATGTGCCTCTAGAATTGTTAGTGCAAGTCTTTGACACGGCGTTTTGTTTTTTTTTTTTACAAATAAGCATACTGCAGATGATGTTACATGAATATATACGAGGGAAATAAATAATTCTGAGTTTCAGTTGCTCAGTTTTTGTTTGTTTTCTGCACCCCTGAATGTTTGCTTTTAAATGGCTTTCTGTGGTGATAATGGTATAGATATGTGGCTTTTTGAGTGGAATGGTGTCATTAGATTCTGGATATGAAAATGAAAATTTCTTAATGAGCAAGCCTATGTAACTTTTATCTATTCTGAACTGAACCCTTTGTAGAAATCATTTGGTTTCCTCTTTTTTTTTAATTTTTGCTTATATGAAAATGAAATTTATCTGTGCTTTTATTAAAAAGTCTTCTTTACCTTTGCTGCAGAAACCAATACTAGTCACTTTTGCAAAAGATGAAGATTCTTCCATTTCTCTTCCAAAGCCTCCTGCCGATGCTGCAGAGGGTAGAAAAGTCAGCAGTGCTCGGGCACACTTATTTAGAAGAACTCAGGGAAATTTTCTTTCTGCTAAAATGGTTTCTCCTGATCAGAGTAAGAATGTTTTGATACATGTTATTTCCTAGAAAAGTAACTGCATGATGGGTTTTAATGTCATTAATTACATGAATTATTATATTGTATTAAAGGACCTGCATGTCCTTTCAGAGTAAGTTTTAAAAATATTTAGATGGCTTTAAGACAGTTTTGAAAATGTGATTTCCAAAAATGATACTGGCTTCCACTTCTGAAGGTGAGTTGAAAGCTACTCAGGTGCCTTTTTTTTCCTATAGGTTTCTAAGTAATGGAATTTTTACTGAAAGTTTTCTTCAATGGGTAAAATTAACATTAAATGCTGAAATGTTTAAAGAGATAATGAGATGGCATCTTCTAAGGAGATTCCCTGATGGATTATTGAGCATAAAAGGAGGAGTAAAAAGGAATGATATGTCTTGACAGGCCTCCAACTACATCATATTTGTTGTTAAGAGTTTCATCAGTGGAGACTTAATAAAGGTTGCTAAACGTAGGATTTAAAAGTAATTTTCTTGCAGATGGGAAATGACTTGACATCTTGGTTTCCTGCACATTGGCTCATAATGAAACATGCTGGAACTCTGTCCTTAATGAAGACTGATTGTGATAATGACAATTCTTACATTGCCTGGGTTTGTTACTTTACATGATAAACTGAATATCTCACTTTTGACCTCATTGCAAAATAAGTCTTATACAACAAATACTAAGCTTGACTTCATAATTATGTACGTATTCTATAAATTTATATGTACACCATTTACCCCTACATGTAGTTTAATCCATTAGCCTTAATCAGTTGATGTTACTAATTGGAGAAGTTGAGAACCTAATGTAGTTATAGGCTGAGTTTGCCTCTTCTTCCCTTTGGGGATCATGCAAATGTTCACAAGTTTTTGTGCAGGTTCTTATCATGTGTGCTTACCAAGGTACAAGATTAACAGCTACCTTTTGCTTGGGTTCCTTCATAATATTCAGATCCTGAAATATAATCACTTCTTTCACAAGATTCAAACCACCTATCTCTAAATGGGAAATTAAAAAAAACTATGAAAGATTAAAGTGTTAAAACACAAAACTGAGAGACTTTAAGAAGTGGTATTCATAGAAGACTACCTTGCTCTAGATATTCTTAAGCATTCTCACCTTTTAAATTGATACAAGCAAATTTTGATAATGTAACGTGGCAAACAGTAATTAATTTTGAGCTCTGACGTGTATTTATTGTGTAAGAACATTTTTACAAAATTATGTTCTCTTTGGCTATTTCAGATGAAGAGAAGCTAGATTCTGAAGAACCAGCTATGATGAGTAATCTTTGCAGAAGTAATGATAACTGCCTAGCAGAGCAAAGGCCATGCACACCATTTAATTATGAAAGTAGACAATTAATTTGTAATGAGCACATCAGCAGATTGGAGAAGGAAGACTTCCTAAAAGGGACAGCAGGAAAATTTTTATTTCAACTGAGAGGAGAAAGGTCGGTATTGCTTGAGTATGGTAACGTGCACCTTCCACACAAACCTCTCCCCAGGTATTCAGTTGGGCAAGTATCAAAATGTTTAAAATTCGTGGCATTTGAAGATGGCACTATTTATGCGTTAGAACAAAACTATGTTTTAGTTTATTAGGAACAAAAACCTTTACACTCCTGTTCTTAGGAAGTCTTTACACTCAAAAGTCTGATTTGTCCAAAAATTGTTGATAGGAAGTTGCTTGATATGTAATAACTTTATTTTTAATTTTGTTTGATCACTAACATTTCAAAACTAAGTCTTCTAATAATTACGTATAGAATACTCAAGTTTAGATACAATGGTCTTGTTTTTACAGTTCAGACCTCTTGTTTTAAGTTGCTGCACATTCTTCCCTTAGGTCCACAGATGAGTAGAGCTGTGTTTTCAGTTCTGGTGTTGGGGAAATACGTGTTTATGCTCAACAACCAGGCTTAAACTCGTGGCCAATAGAGGCAGAATTTTTTTGTAGCTTTGAATTTTTTTTAGTTCATTTTTTTCGATGACCAAACAGCTGCAAGAGGTTAATAAGACTTATGTGTATGCAGTCTGTTTTTACTGATCCTAGATTATTACATGCATTCTGTAATTCACAATTATGTAATTTTTTTTTTCTTTTTGATTCAGATAGAATTGTAGAACGTTTTGGGTTGGAAGGGACCCCTAGAGGTCATCTAGTCCAACCCCCCTGCAGTGAGCAGGGACACCGCTAACTAGATCAGGTTGCTCAGAGCCCCGTCCAACCTGGCCTTGAATGTTTCCAGGGATGGGGCCTCCACTGCCTCTCTGGGCAACCTGTTCCAGTGTTTCACCACCCTCATTGTGAAAAATGTCTTCCTTATATCCAGTCTAAATCTACCCTGCTTCAGTTTAAAACCATTACCCCTTGTCCTGTCACATCTGTCCCTACTAAAAAGATTTTTCCCGTTTTTACTATAGGCTCCCTTTAAGTACTGAAAGGCCACAGTAAGGTCTCCCTGCAGCCTTGTCTTCTCCAGGCTGAACATCCCCAACTTTCTCAGCCTGTCCTCATAAGAGATCTGAATTCTTGCATAGGGAGGAATAGTCCATGTCACTGTGTTCAGTAGGTGTATCAGTGGCTGCGCTAGTAGTTGGATGAACAACCGTTTTGTGCTGATAATACTGACAGATATGACAATATCTACAACAAAGAATGAATTACACCTTATTTTCAAAACACATCTATAAAGACTTCAAAAAAAACACTTAAAAAAAAAATCTGAAAGACTGCAGACTTGTGGGAGCAAAGAAAAAGTTTCATGAGTATGGAGGGAGGGGAAAATGAGAAAATAAGCCCAGCAATGAAAAATTATGAGTGACTGAAAGTAAAACACCAAGGAGAATGCTTCAGTGCAAAATTATTTTCTCCCGGTGAAATCAGTGACTTTTATTTAGTAAAGCTGTGGTGTGAAGTACTTTAGTGTTGTTGAAATGGGTAGTTAGCTAATGGTGTCAAAGTGTCTCTAGTTAAGAAAAGGTCAGTTGATACCTTTACTAACTGGAAAGAATGACTTTCCTTCTGAGTCATAATTTTAAAACTTGCAAGTATGATTGAAAAGTTAACTCATACATCCTTGCTATCTGTTCAAAATTATATGCTTATCCTTTATAAAGTTGAGAGCTCCGCAAGTTTTTCATTTTGGGTTTTTGTTACTGGTGCTTTTTGCAATCATCCATTCATATGGCATTGTGTACCATAATCATTGAGTTTTCTGATAGTCTGAACCACAGAATGTCATGATTTACCTTGATTACCTTGATAATTTTTGAGAATGACTGGCTTCTCTATTGAAATATTCTTAGGAACAGGCAAAAAAAGCCTATTACCAAAAAAGATTGCTTGTGGCAACATGAATTCTTATAGGACATTTTCACTTTGGTTTCTTAGTGTTAGAGAAGTTTTAGAAAAAAAATTAAAAGGGGAAAATTATGTATTTTCAATTTGATATTCTTCAAATATCATTATGCATATTTGAAGAATAGGGTGTCAAGGTTCATTTTGCATGAACTCCACTGGCTTAATTTCTTTGACCTGTTATTTTTCTGACTCTTAACATGATAGCTAAGATACTAGTGATTCTAACCATGAAAGATGGAATGTTAATACAGCTAGCTTGTCATATCCATGCTTGAACTAGAGAGAATAATACTAGAGGTAGTTGAATCTCCCCCATCACTTAAATGAGATCTCAAATTACTGGCCTTAAGATAATACAGAAAAATGTTTTCCAATCTTGTTCTGACTAGTTTTCTCTAAAATAGTGGCATAATATTCCTCCCTCCTTCTGTGTTGAATGCAAGATCTGTATTTTTCAATGGTGCATCTTTACATTCTCCTGGGGGTTGTGCATGCTTCCTGTGTGCTTGAGACAGAGGTGTTTTTTGCCAGTGCTGCCTAAGAGATGCTGCCTGTGCTGCTTTACACCCTTGCATGAAGGATCACTAACAACACTTAGGTGCTCACGTGGCTTAGACTATCAGACATACCTGCAATGCTGCAATATGCACAAAAATAATGTAGAATGCTTTCCATTTAGTAAAGGACAAAGATCCCTCATCTGTATCAGCCCAAGCAGTTCATGCTATCATATGATGAAATGGCTCTAGGTAATCTCAGCTGCTCTCATATATTCTAACTCATTGCTAAGACTTATGCCAATAAACACATTGTTGCAGTATTCGCATATGACACTACACAAATCAGGCAGACCTTGATCTATATCCTTTTCTGAGTTCAGAGATGTCATTCTTCATCTGACAAGGCAGCTGAAAGGTATCACAAACCTATCATTCAATATAGCTGTTTGAGTTTGGTCTTGATAGGAGTTGTATATAAAAGGTTCCAGTACCATAGAGGGGTCATTGAATAACAGAGTTTTGGAATTCTTTCTCAATAGAACATGTTTACAGGTACTAGATGATTGCTATGATTAGATTGCATCAGCTTCTATGTCACAAATACTTGAGACATCTTGTATGAAGTTAAAAGATATTTTCTATTTAAAGTACATTGTATTCAGGAACAATAGGATGCAGTCTTAAAGGGATGTGAAAACTTTTATTATCTGGAGTCCTGTCATCTTCCATGTGAAGCAGTTGTGTTAGCCTCAATTCTGTATCCCAGTGATTTTAAACCCTTGTAGGAATTAAGCAAGTAGATTATAGAAATAGTATAGTTCATGCAGGAGAAGGCGCATGAGACTCTTTACTCCCCTTTCCCCACAGTTCCTATATATATACGAAAATAACTTTGCTAATAAAGCTGTGTTTCTGTTAATGATGCAAATATAGAGCATGCCAAAATAGCATGGCAGATTCCTGCCATTAATGCTATTACATTTATTTCAAAGAGAACAGAAGGGAAGTATTTTATTCCAGAAAGACTTGCTCACTTTCCATCTCAAATTCTTTTGTTGTCCCAAGGACTGATGAAAAGAATGAACAGCACTAATGAAATAGCTATTGCTATATAAAGATACTGGAGGAAAAAAAGAGAAAAGGACCTTTGGAGGGGAAGAGTTATTTGTCATTTTGTTTGCAGTTCTGTTTTTCAAACAGAACCATCTAGTTAGAATAGAATAGGTATATTAATTGAAGCAGATTGAATTTATTGACATGTTGCCTCAGGAAAGCAAGGAGCAATTTCTGACAATCATAAGGAAGCTAAGTTTTGTTTACATCTTCATCCAGCCATTGTGCCTTGCCATCTATTGTGATTGCTAGAAATGAAATTTCTAAAATGTTTTCTGCATTCATATATTTCAACAGAAGTGTCAACAGTGATGGCAGATTTGCTGATGAGGAGCAACAGTTTCCCTGGTGAGAAAAGATGATTTATTTTTTTTTTTCTCCTCCTTCAATTTCTCAATATTCTGGAAGCTTAGATGTCATTCCAGGTCTCCGTAAAAACATAGGTGCCTTCAGTGAGGAAAAGCTTGGTGACAAACAGTTGATTCCCAAGTGGTCTGCTCTACACTTTTTTTAATAACTGATTTCTATAAATAGCTACAGAAAGAGTAGAAGGTGCTGTGAAGAAGATATACTGTGCCCTGTTTTCTGTCATCATTGCTGTCCTTATTAAATGCCAATTTGACAGAATGCATAAGAGGTATTCATCAACTGCTTCTATAAGACTAGTTTCTCTTGTACTTTTTAGAGTTTTGGAATGCTTCAATAGAAAATTATAAAAGTAGGGGACAAGTGAATACTGGAAATCACTTCTGTCTGATTGCTTAAACTAGCTTCACATCTGTGCCCAAAATATTAATTCCTTTTCTCCTCAAAGAAAAGGATTCCTACAGAGAAGAGAGATTTCTTTCCTGAAGGGAACACCCATTCTGTTTTGCTCTGGATGAATTTTTGAAATGAATGACATGGTGTGAATATAAGCTTATTGTAAGGTTTAGCTGATACTGCTGCAGATTCTCCGACTTCTTTCAGGATTTGTCTTTTCTCATTATGTATATTCACAACTTCTGGAGTTCTCATAAAGACATGGAAACAGGAAGCTAATCTACTCCTAACTACTCTATTTCTGCCTCAGTTCCATTAGCTATTGAGACTAAAAAACAATTTTTAAGAAAGAAAATATTTAAGAAGGAAACAACCAAGTGCTGGAAAGCTTTCACAGGTAGAACTTTCTACAGTGTTTTCCAAAGACAGTATGACACCTGCACTTCCAAGAAGGTGCTGAGTTTTGTATAGGGTTAGGGGATAGTGAGAGAAAATTGGGAATGAAGAACTACTCCCTCCCCCTGCCCCCAAACTTTTTATAGACTTCTGAAGAAAGAAGCAACAGGTAGCTGTTATCTCTGGTACTCTGGTCTCTTCACTTGTGAAAGAGAGAGTGTAGTTTAGGGTCATTTCTACTGCCTACATCAAAGGGAGTCTTTCCACGATAGTCATTCGTTTGAGCATAAGGTCATTGGTCTCCAAAGCTGGGAGATTTAGGTCTTGAGAGTCTTTATTATCAATTGAATGCTAATTCCAGAATGTGAAAGGGTGCTAGGTAGGACTGTAGTAACAAGGGATTTAGACTGATTGTTTAGAATGAGGATGCTTATGCAAGATTCAAGTTATGAAGATGCTGTGGTTTTCAGATGCAGCTGTATTTAGGCTAGTATTTTAGGTGTTCTTTATGGTTAGAACTAGGCTATCAGTTGTCTGCTTGCTTAAAGATACCCTGCCACAAATAGATATTGTTAATATCTGTAGTTGCCCTCTACAACTACCTGAAAGGAGGTTGTGGTGAGGTGGGGGTCGGTCTCTTCTCCCTGGTAATGGGCGATAGGATGAGGGGAAATGGCCTCAAGTTGCGCCAGGGCAGGTTTAGGTTGGACATTAGGAAACATTTTTTCACTGAAAGGGTTGTCAAGCATTGGAACGGGCTGCCCAGGGAAGTGGTTGAGTCCCCATCCCTGGAGGTATTTAAAAGACGGGTAGACAGGTGCTTAGGGACATGGTTTAGTGGTGGGATGGCAGGGTAAGGTTAACGGTTGGACTTGATGATCTTAAAGGTCTTTTCCAACCTAAAGGATTCTGTGATTTTGTGATGATTCTATTTTCTGTATTAGGCAGAAAATGCAGAGACTGAAGAATAAAAAGGGTAAGGATATAGGTTTTCCATCAACCTCGGTTATTCTTTTAGGCCATACTATTTAACGTGTGCATGAAGTTCTTCATCAACAGCTGTATGTTCTTTTTATCACTGGAGCTGTCATAAGTAATGGACTATGCCCATGATTGTGTTTATAGAGTAATTGTTATTTGCTCATCTTCAGGATGACTTAGAGTGTAGTTGGCCTATTTGTCAACATATTTTTGCAAATTACATTGCCTTTCTACTATTTATCCTTTCTCATATCAGTGGTATCAGTTACAGTCTCAGTTATAGTTTCCACTCCCTTTGTTTTTGTCTTTTCTGGTGGTGCTACATACGATATAATCCTTTACAATTCCTGAAATAATTTCAGGACATCTGTATTATCAATTTTTCAATTATTTGCATGCTTTTGAAAATCTTTGTAGCTGAGAAGCAGGACTGACTAGAGGTTTGTGTAATTGGTTTAATACTTTAATTTATATTTCTTTTAGCTGTCTGCAAGTAATTTACTGTGTCTTCGTTATGTTTTCTAAAAGGAAAATAGTCTTTAAAAATTGAGCTATTGTACTAATTCTTTTTTTTGAGGCACACCTATTATTTGTTTCTACACTGTGTTTGTATCTATCTTGTTTGTGCCTGAGATGACATCATAGAAGGGAACATTCAGTGGTAGTTGAGCAAAACAGGGACATGTTCTCCTAAGCGGCTCGGTGAAGGTCAATTCTTTGTCTAAAAAGATAGAGTGCCTTTCAAGTGCTAAGTTATGGGTCAGGAAGAAATCCCCTGATTTAAAACAAAACAAACCCGCAAAAACATATTCCCTATATTCAACCAATGAAAGGCAATACAGAAAACTAATTCTGATGTCCTTTTGGCAACATAAAAGGTCTGGATGGTGTAATTAAATAGGAATAAATGGATTAATGAAAAATGTAAATGTTAATTGGCATATGGAAAAATTAATTTCTATGAGTGAATGATAAAGTGAAACACTATATTTTTTTTCTCATTTTGCCAAAAGCTGAAACCAATTCCTATTAGCTGCTTTGGCAAAAACACTCGGATGTTGTTTACACTTCCTTTCAAAGTCTACAGAACAATGTCTTGTTACTAAAATTAGTAACAATTGTTTAGAGTTAGAACTCTTGTTTCCTGATCACTAAACACTTGCGGTGGAAGAATCACAATAGCGGAGGACTTATGTTCTAAAGCAGTGGCTCCTAAGCATTGTGTAGCTGAACCTTGTCTGAGAAAATCAGTTGCAGTCTCTCTCACTTTCTCCAGCTCCACATGTGATTCCCCTTCTCTGTCTTGGGGTTCTTACACAACCTTGTCCTTTGCTGCTGACTCAGGGTCTGCTGCATCATTCTTCTTGCCCCGATTCCCAGGATCACCATTAGTTCCTCTTAACTTTCCCTGGAGCTGCCATCCTTCTTTTTGAGACGAAGCTCCTGAGTCTGGCTGTGCCCTGATAAACTTGGTCTAGAGCCTTAGGTATCTTTGCACCATGCTTGCCAGTGCTCCTGCCAGGAGACCTGATGAGCAGTTCATGAGACCACAGTTCTGAATAATTTAGAAAAACAGTAATTGGCGGTCAGTATATAAGCAACCTATTGGCTGATATGCCAGAGGGTTGTGCAACCATCCAGAGGGACCTCAGCAGGCTGGAGAAGTGAGTTGACAGGAACCTTGTGCAGTTTAACAAAGGCAAGTGCAAAGTCCTGCACCTAGGGAGGTACAACCCCAGGCACCAGTATGTACTGGGGGTCATCCAGCTGGGAGGCAGTACTATGGAAAAAGACCTGGAGGTCCTGGTGGACACCAAGTTCATAGAATAGCTCAGGTGGGAAAGGACATCAGAAGATCACCTGGTCCAATCTTGTGTGGAAAAGGGAGTCTAGATGAGATTATCTACCATCTTGTTCATTCTCATCTTAAAAATCTCCACCACACCTGGAGTGCTGGGTTCAGTTCTGGACTCCCTAGTGCAATAGAGATATGGAGCAGCTGGAGTCCAGCTACTCAGATGAAGGAGTCCTTCATGCGAGGAAAGGCAGAGAGAGCTGGGACTATTTAGCCTGAAGAAGAGAAGACTCGGAAGAGGTCTTATCAATGTATATAAATAGCTGAAGGGAGGGTGTGCTGTGACACCCTCATTGGTTGTGTGACAAGAGCTCTTCCTTCTCCCTCATGGCAGGCACTCAAAAGAGGAAAACCTAGTTACTAACCTGTGACTGCTCTTTTTGGAGAGTTACTGGCTGTATATACTTTCACAACATATCCTAGCAGATTTTCCCTTTGTAGTGCATATAGAATTTGGGTATCTTCGGTTGAAAGAAAAATACACACCTGCTTAAATAGCCAAATGATCCTTAACAGTAGAAGGCATGCCATCCTGGATACTACTAACATTAAAAATAATCCCAGATTACAGTGTAGATGTAGTCACACTCTGAATATACGTCAGAAACATCTCAAAGAACAGTCTTTCTTAACGGCATATCTGTTTCATGAGTACCCACAAACAGGGGGACTGAGCTCTGATCTAGTCTGAAAGAACACCTTTGTGCCTAGTAGTCCTTTTGATATGTCTGGCTTGCCTGAGCAGGCCCCCAGGATCTGCTTAGTATCGCTCTATATCCATTCTTCTTGCCGTTTAGTGAAATGTCTTGATTTTTGGGTGTAGATAAATCGTGTCTGGCTTTCCAATGCTCACAACATATGTTTGTAAAATCAGATGTTCAGTGCTTATATTTATGTATAAACAGTCTGCATCTTTTACTTATTGCAGTGCCTAGGCTGTTTTTAGATCTTTGTGAAAAGTTAGAAATTGTTCCCCTAGATGTTTGAAGATCTGAAAACATCAATGTATCAAGGATCCAAAATTAAACTTGTAAAAATTTGAGTCACATTTTTGGGCTTTAAGTTAACTAGAAGAAAAGAAATTTGTGGGGGCTAAATGGGGTGGAATGAAGGAAAATATATTGGGGAGAGATTGAGTGACTGTTGAGGGAAAATGGAAGAAAAAAAAAAAAGAGGGGGGGGAATGCATCAGGATGAAAAACATGGAGGCAGAAGCTGAAAGAGAACTGCAGGCAGGGAACCTCAACAGCACCCTCTATTTGCTGGAGGCATCTGGGAAGCTTTTTGGTCACTGTTAGAGGACACTGAGCAAGGTGGACTTTCAGCATGACCTATTACAGCTTTTGTGTATTTG